TCGCTGTGGGCTGGTGACGCCCGCTGGGCTAACGGCGGTGTGCCAGCCGGCCTGGGGGAAGCCGGGCCCCCTGAAGTGCGCTGCGATGGCCGAAGAAGGATGCTATTTCGGTGCATCGGTGTCGGTTTCGCTACCGTCTCTCTGTCTGCTGCGAGCATGCAGTCGTTTCCTTTCATCCTTATTATTGCTTATAAGTATCTAAAGGGTGGGTTGAAGGAGGATGGAGCCAGACGCTTTTCAGTGGTTCCCAGTGACAGGACGAGGGGCAATGGGCACAAGCTGGAACGTAGGAAGTTCCATTCAAACACAAGGAAAAACTTCTTTACGGTTTGGATGACAGAGCACTGGCACAGACTGCCCAGGGAGGGTGTGGAGTCGCCTTCTGTGGAGATTTTCAAGACCCGCCTGGATGCAGTCCTGAGTAATGTGCTCTGGGCAATCCTGCTTTAGCAGGGGAGTTGGACTAGATGATCTGTGGAGGTCCTTTCCAGCTCTGAAAATTCCATGATTCCGTGATCCATCTAGAAGATGACAGCAGCAGGGTGTTGCACGGGTCAAGTTGAAGTGTTGTAACATAGCTGTAAAAATCACCGTTTTATTTCCATATGTTCTTAAATTTGTGTTTCGTTTTGCAAGAGGTATTTGGCCCTTCATGGTAATTTGGCTTCTAATCATCTGCTGAAGGGAAGTGTGAAGAACTGTGAGGGTTGATTATCAGTATATAGGAAACGACCACAGAAAACCTTCCGCCGACTCAAGAAAGTGATTTTGTTTTAAGACATGACAATACAAATATTTTGAACCAATAAATTCTGTTGCAACCTTTTTATTCTGAACATTTCATCTTTGTGCTGGAATTGATTTGAAAATGAAATTGATAAATGGCAAACATGATTGTTTTCATTAGTGCTACTTAAAAATGCAAAATCTAGACATATGATGGGATGAAAGATAGAAAGAAAAAAAATTGTTATAGACTTGGGATCTGCCAATGCCATGTCATAGGGTATAATATAGAGGGTCCAGTCAATATTGAATGTCAGTGTAGTACATAATAGCGTCCTGAAAACAGCATCATTGTGTTAGCAAAGTTTTGGGCGCACACTACTTCTCTGTTTGGTTTATGCCAAGCCTCTTAATAGGATTTATTAGCGTGGGGAATGAGTCTAGCAACCCAACAGTAGTAAATTTGCAGGGAGGTGCCTTCTGATCTCCAGTTAGATCAGAGCAATACTGTAATTGGCATAACCCAAGCTAATATTACATTACCCTCAGGAGAACCAGTGCTGTTCAGCTGTTTGCTACCTTGCTGCTCCACATGTTCGGTTTTAGCTGTGGAATAAGTTGGATCAGCTCACACAACCTAGAGCAGGCATGCGTGACTGGACTGAAAGGGAGGGCAGATCAATCTCTTATGGCAGCGATCTGCAGTTAGGTCTGCCTAAGCTAAACAAAACCTGTCTTATCTACTCTAACATCTCTGTGCTCTATATCCTTGAGGATACAGATGTCTCCTTATTCATAATAGATGGCTTTTAAAAAATGTGATTTTACCAGGCAATGCTTAGCTAAGCTATCCATACAGACTAATATTCACAGATATATGAAAGGTTATTTTCTATCTTTTTTTTTTTAAAGTTGTAATTTATACTAGAGGAGGTCATACACAATGTGTTTAAGACAGGTGATTTTTAAATAGGTTCCAAGTATGAGATTTGTGAGAGAGAAGCAAAATATTAATCAATGCTTAGAAGTTTAACAGTGTCTTTAAGACCCTTTTTTTCCATGGCCACCTTTGCTGACTTAATTCTGCCTGCTCTAACATAATTCTCAATCATTCTGGGCAACAGCACTATCCAAATTATGTTAAAAGAGAATTTTGCATTGAAATTTAGAAGTTTTTGCTTTACATCTTCATTTTGTTATTAACATTTTCTTTTTCAGAAGCATTACAATTTGAGCCTGATTTTGTGTTTTATTAAATTCTGCGACTTGCAATGGGGTCTTTTTGAGACTATTAGCAGCTAATAAATTTGCTTTCTCTCCTTGTGACCAGTTTATGAGGGAATTTACAGCATTAAAATGACCAGCCTTGCATGCATAATGCAGTGGAGTATCCTTGGTGCTGTCTAAGGCATTAATGGCTGCCCCGTAGCTCAGTAATAGATTTATCAAGTCGCTGTGTCCATATTCTGCTGCAATATGCAGTGTGGTCTTTCTCCAAATGTTTCTATCATCAATATTTTTATTTTTGCCTGATGTCAGAAGCATTTTTACAATCTCTGTGTTTCCTTTGATGGCTGCATAGTGCATCGGAGTACATCCATCCATGTCCTTAGCTCCAAATCTTCCCTTTTTAGCTAACAGAACCTTCACGATACTGAGATGTCCTCTCACAACTGCAGTGTGCAGGGGAGTCTTTTTCTCCTTGTCTTGTGCATTGGGGTCAGCATTAGCATTCAGAAGCATCTCTACCATTGCTTTGTCTCCGCTTTCAGCAGCAAAATGTAAAGGGGATTTTGACTGCTTATCCTTAACATTAACATTGGCTTTGTGGAGCAGCAGCTGCTGGGCAACCTCAGTGTTACCTCTTTGAGTTGCAATATGCAGGGGAGTAACAAACTCTTTAGTGACAGCATTAATTTTGGCTCCAGCATTAACTAAAAGGCCAACTAATGCTCCTTTATTATGAAGTGCAGCAACATGGAGCGGGGTTTCATCGGCTTGGTTCATAAGGTTAGCTTCCATCCCTTTGCGCAGAAGCAGATTTGCGATGGAAGCAGCCCCAGCTTGAACTGCCAAGTGCAAAGCGGTGTCTGAAGTAGGAGTCTTTATTCCAAAGTTTGCTCCCTTTTCTATTAGAACTTCTGCTGATTCAGCTTTGCCCGTTTCACATGCCAGGAGTAAAGGAGTGTACTGCATTTCATTGTAGGCGTTTATATCTGTACCTCTGTCAATTAAAGCTGCTACAGTACCACACAAATTTTTCTGCACAGCTCTAAAAAGAGCGGACTCCATTATGTCCGATGACAAATCTTTAGAATATTCTAGTAGTGTTTTGAAGATGGATGGGTGGTTGCTGTTGAAAGCTCTTTTGGCCATGTTGGAATCAACACTGGCTCCGGCTTCTAGCAGTACTTTTGCAGTATTTTGAGACCCCTGAGAAACAGCATAACTGAGAGCAGTGTGTCCTCTTTCATCCTTTCCGTCAATGGAGGCGCCAGCCTTTAAAAGCATTTTTGCTAGACTGCTCTCATCTTTAAGAGCTGCCATGTGCAAAAAGTTGTGCTGGTTCCTGTAGCTTCTTGCCTCTTTTTTCAGGAGCATCTTCAATATGTGACTGTGGTTATTCTGTGCAGCCAAATGAAGTGGTGTCTTGTCTTCCGTATCCAAACTGTACATATAAGCACCGCATCGGAGAAGCGCTTTCAGTGCATCATCATGGCCTTTCTCAGCTGCCCTGTGCAGTGGTGTTCTTCCTTTCTTGTCCTTCACATCTATCTTTGCACCTTTGCTGATCAAATATTCCATTATGGCTAGATGTCCATTAGTGGCTGCAACATGCAGAAGTGTTTCACTTGAAGAGTTTAGTGCATTAATATCATTGTCTTTCAGTGTTTTCTCTAACTCGGAAAGATAGCCTTTAGCGACTGCATCAAAGATGCCAACGTCAGAATGATCTTTTCTAGTTTTTGCTGCTCTTGAAAGTTGAGTTTCTTTTTCTTTCTTCTTAATAGCCCTTTCTTGCTTTTTTCTTCTCGGACTGTCTTTTTTTTCCTGGTGTTTTTCACTGCTGTTTTCAAACCAAACCTTGTCTTTTTCGAGTAAATATCCTACCAATTGTCTTCTAGCATCTCCAATGCTTTCATTTACTTCACTGACATATTTTCTCATCTTGCTGTAAAGTTTTGGCTCCACTTGCTTTAGACATGGATAAAAAAAGAGCCTGCAGGCTCGTTCACCTTGAGAAATTAATATGTCTAAAACTCGAGAATTCTTTTCTGTTCGTGTCCTGTAGAAACTCATGACCATCTTTTTTTCTGGGGTAAAAATACCATTGTCTATCAACCAGTTCAGAAGATGGTCTGGGTCGTTTATGCCTTCTACTAGCTCTTGTTTTTTAGTCGTTAGGACTTCAATTGCGTATGGATTTGTAAACAGGCTACTTGAACGCATGATCATGCTGATAATCCAAAAGCGAATTGAGCTATTGTTCGATGTTTGAAGTTAAATATGAAATAGCAAAGCAGGATCACATCATTCACACATTCTTTTCGTAGAACTATGAACCAGCAACCGTTGTAGTTCAGTGATAAATCTTTAAAGAATGAGAAAGAAATCAAAACTCCCTCACCTTTGGTTTCTAGTTGTTAGAAGTCCTTTGATCTTCTCTGTTCTTCCTTAGCAACAAGTGAAGTTTAATAACAAAACAAAAATCTGTGATACGTAAAGATATTCCACTTGGAAGACTTCTTCCAGATTTTTTACAGATAACTAGGGAGAAAATGCTTTTGTGAAGCTAATATTTGAATAGAATATATTTGTTTATTGAGTTCCTCTGGCCGGGCTGTTTTTGTAGTTGTCTAAATGACCAGTCTATTAAAGGCGACAAAAGAAAATTCATAGCATAGTTACTGTTGCCGTGATTACATACCTTGTATGATCTTAAATGAAAGAGTACACATTTCCAGCTACGTAGCTGAAAGCCCTATAATGTAATGAAATGAAACCATAAAGACCTAGATAAAAATAAACTTTGTAAGCGGATAGTTATAAAAAGTGATCCCGCCTTTCTAATATGAGTTGCAACTTCAGTCTATGAGGTGTATTTAACTTAAAGGCTATTTAGCTTGTCATTCCTGGAGTCTGTCTGGAACTTAATTCTTTTACATGATGTGGATCAAGGTGCGTGATTCAGTATGCAACATCTAAAGTATAATTAAATAGAGCTTCAATCCTGTGAATATGTATACTCTTCAATATGGGTGCAGGACCTTTGAATCTAGCTGTAATTAATTTAACTTATTGGTGTTAAAATTCCTTATGGAGAGAAGGAAATAAAATAATAATCATCTACACCTTTTGAAACCAAATGAGAGAGAAATTGAGATTACAGAGTTCTGTAAGACCTAGAAGTAAAATGAGCTGAAAAGCTGAAAGCTTGACCTTATTTAAGCAAATGGGAAATTTTGCCATCTGTTTCTTAGTTTGGTGCCCTTTCTGTTGGGTCCTGCTGCCTTTGCATGTATTTTCTTTAATAGTATGTACAATGTGACTGATAAGATTTTTAATTTTTTTCTGTTGACTTTAGTTTTATAAGTAAGATTGCAAAGCCTATTCTATTAAAAAACAAGATTTATTGAAGAAATAGCCAGGAAAGGCAAGACTTTTAATATATATTTTGAAAGCCAGCCAGTTACCAAGTCAGCAAATTTGACAGCCAATTTAAAAGCCCAATAATTCCTCTGAAATGCAAAGAAGGGCACTACACCAAGAATAGCAAAACCTTTGTCATTTAGTTAATGATTGTTAACACATAGCATGGAAAACTATGCTTTATTGTAGGGAGTCAGGAGGTCTGAATTGTGTTCCCAAATCTGCTAAAGACTCAGTCTGTGATCTGCAAATTATTAAGTCTTCAGATTTGACTTAACAAAGTACTGAAGATCTCTCCGTGTCTTGAGTAAATTGATGGTCCTTACTTAAAGTTTGGTGAAACGAGACCTTTATGTCATCATTATTATTGTTCCCATGCAAAATAGAGATAGCAATACTTGATTACCCTCACAGGAAAGTTTTGAGTTCCAGCAATGGAAAATGTTAGGTGAGTGCCGAGCAGTATTGTTAATATAGCCAGCACAAGAATTTTTGGAACGCCTGAAAAATTTAAAACCAGAACTTGTTATAGAGTCTAATACTGTGGCAGTAATTTCCTAGTGTGCTGAATACAGAAATTTTACTAGTAAACACTACAAATTAAAGGGTGCAGTACTCCTAACTGGCCTTGAGGAGGAACATTTGAACAATATATGCAGGCAGCAACTCTTTCAGGGCCGCTGTGGGACTTTGTTTTGGGAAAATAATGTGCAGCAAATTACTTGTTGCTAAATGTAAATCATTGTCTCAAAATATAATTATACATATATTTTTTAAAAAAAAGTTCTTCATTATATGTATGTGACATGAGGAAATTCTCTCTTAAAACAAGAGTCACATTTGACAAGAAAATTTTGGAAGCTTGTTGTATGGGTTCATTTTTAGAAATTATGTTTTAAAAGCCTTTATTTTTTAAATTAGTATTTTAACTACTTTTAGAAGTAAGCCTGTGTTCCAACAATGACTTCAAAAAAAGAATAAAAACCCCAAACAGTTGGGAAGAAAAGAGATTCATAATTGGCTATTTGAAACATGCTTTTTGTTTGTATCTTTTTAACTTGCTAACTAAATTTATTCAATGTATAAATGTTTTAGAGAAGGGAAATATATTAAGGTTCCACACCTCTTCTCCTTTAATTAAGTGCAAGAGGCCACATATGCGTAGGATCACCAGGAAGCTCTTCATTTAAAATAAGAATGGCAAAACTTAATATTACTCAAGATCTAAGAGAAGAAAGAAGTTGGAGAGAGGAAGAAGCAAACCTTTGGCCTTCTTTGTTATCTTTTACATTTATTTATTATTGGAGGGGTATAAGGTGATTTTTTTTTTTTGCTTGCTACTAAGTACTTCACAGGTCAGTTTTATTTCTTCTGGCTTCTTTAGCTCCATGTATCCAAGGACTGTTCCTTATTAGGTTATTTTGAAATGAAAGTGATGGGGTTTGCTTCTGTCTTCTTTGTCAGGTAGGACTTAAGGATCTCTGTGTTCAGCAGTATGGGTATATAGCAGATCAGCTTATATGCATCGAGGAGATTTTATGTTTTCCTCCAGAAGGACATAGTAAAAAATTCCGATTGGTAGTAGTGCAGGTTCAGCTTCAATAGTGTAATCAGAGAAACTTAACGCTGTAGGTGTGTTAATTGTATTTCAATTGTATGTTGTCAAGAAGCCTGTAGTGAGTAGATTGTCATGACAGAAATACTGAAAATCTTCACAGAGAGTGCTTAAGCTCTAATGTCATTGTTAAATGCAGAAGTAGGACTCTGTGTATATCTAAGATTACCTTAATTCAGATAGATCTATGTATACTCGGCACTGACTTTGTGGGAGGATATCAGCTGAAAACAACACGGTAGAGTTTAGAGCAGGCCTTAAAGAGGGCAGGTGATGCTATTGATAGGAAAGATCTCTGTTTTGGCCTCTGCTGAATACGTGTCCATATAGGGAACTGTTTTAACCCAGCTGTAGCTGGGAGGTTCGAGCCAGTTGTTTCTGACATGCAATCTCAGTTTTGCTCCTAACTTGTGTCCTTGGGCAAATCACTTAATCTCTGTGCCCTGTTTACACAAGCATTAAAAAAGGAAATTTTTTTCTACCTAGCAGACATGTCCTAAGTGTTTATTAATGTTGGTGCAGTGCTTTGAAGTTATAGAGTGCTTTGAAGTTTTTGTCCTTTGAAGTATTGTTTTCTGACTTCTCAAAGATGAACATTTATTTCTTAAATTAACACGTGCCCGTGTTTTCTAGCTTATTTTATGTTGCTATGTCATCATCAAATATACATTTAATTTTCTCTATTCTAATTTCTCAAAGATGAAAGCAACCCAAACTACACCTTGCACATTGTCAAAAGAACACGTGAGGTGGTGTGGCCGTGGGAGTGAGGAACCTGCAGAGGTCACCATTTCTCCACCAAGGCTTTCCCACTGAGCCTGCAGCCTGCAGCTGGGGTTACTGTCTTCTGCTGAAAAGGCATGTAATGCAACTGAATGACTTCCAGTAACTTCTTATATTCTCTAGGGCATTTTCTTGATAAAATTGATGGAATGCCAGACATTAGTAACACGGTTTCACTCACCGTGATATTTTTATGTTTTCTAATGTGTACTTTAATTTGACTTAAGACAATTGTTTGCACTAATGCCAACTGTTTATTGGGAACATATCTTGCTGTGGAATAACTAGTCTGTAAGAGATAATAAAGCCAACATCATTATCTAAACATCATGAGGGATGGAGAAACGTATCTGGGTAATCAAGGCATTCTCATTAATAAACATGGCTCAGGAATGAAGCTTTGGTTTGGATAACTAGAAATCTAAGTGTGGCCTAGCTGGCTGAGGTTGAACTATATTTGGGTATAGCTAGATTGAGAAACAGCAGTGTTAGACGTGTTCATGACAATGATTAGAGTGTACTTGACTTATTATACGACTGGAAGAGAAGCTGACTAGTCAGAAAGTCTGTAAGAGAGACAAAATGTAGTGCTTAGTTTTGCCTAAAGATTAACTGCAGTAAATTAGGGAGGTCAAAAGCGGAGCTTTGGCACTGAGTGATCCTGTTTGTGTTAGTCATAGTTCTGTAGAGAGTAGGCTTGGGGCCTTCCTGGTGCTGAGAAATCTCTGCCCTGGCTGGTATTTAAATCTGAGGTGTTCCCTAGTGTAGTGCCGTCCTCTGAGTGGTACTGACACAGGCAGAACATGTATCATCAGGGGCCTGAGCGGGGGCCTGCTGGAGGGAGGGGAAAGCTGATCTGTCCAGTCTCACATTTTGCATCTCAGGCTAGCACACAGGGCTCCCGTCTCACCCTCTCTGCAACTTCTGCCTTGGCAGGACATAACCACCTCTGCAGAGTCCTGTGCCAGGCCCTATACTTGAAAGAGGTACCTCTCAGAAGGCACAGCTCCTAGCCTTGTCCCCTATTCATGGATGCTTTCAAAATCCTAGGAAATACAACAGCTGATATAATAATTCAGCTATTTTATTCTGTTATCAATACAAGTCACAATGTTATCCCAACACTATAGTACTATTTCCTCAAGTATAAACAAATGAAGATCACGTTAAGTGCTGCGCCCATGCAATGCAAAATGTTCTTTTTTCCACAGATTAGTGAGTACTTTTATGAGGTTCCCAACTTGGGGTAATCATAAGTGGATAATACACACCTGTGAAGTGCCACAGATGTCTGTAAATGCTGATAGAGCAGGCTGTCTATCGGCATTGAGCTGTAGGAACAAGGCTTAATGTACATAACATTGCCAAAGTGAGGATTAGGTTTGGTTTACAGTTTACCATGCATATA